GAGAGGGAGAGAGGAATGAAGTGAGGGGGAAGAAAAACAGCATAGACTGAGGGAAAGCAGATGAGTGGGAGACAATAAAGTAGACAGCAGAGAACAGACAGACAGATAAATGAGGGATCGCTTCGAGTGTGCGTAGATTTGGAGGCCCATGGGAGTTCCTCGCGAGGGTGTACCATTCCCTCCCAGAATGCTTTATCTTAAGGCGGATTTCTATGAGAGCTGGAGATTAATGACGTGCTAAATCATAATATATTGGCTCATACCATTCGGATATAATTGCTTTCTGTGTACGGCTCTGTCTTGTGTTCACAGCTAGTGTCTTTGAGCGGGATTGTATCCCGTAACGTCATCAATTTCCCGTTTGCAGCCCTCAGTGTGAGCGGCACATCTACTGTAAAGTAGTTAGATTACGTCCCTCTGCAGCACATCATCATACAGTGCCACGACCACAGCTCAGTAACTGCATTTCCATTCCACTTTCCCCCCGCTGCTCCAGCTCTCTCCCTCGGTCAGGTGTTTATGTGGTGATCAGGTGCTGACGACAGGCCTGAGTTAGAGAGGGGAAGACAGCGCCGGGGTTAGGGATAATTACGATATCCTGTAGGTTCAGGATGAGCCTCTTCTGCTCTCTCTAGCAGTCCGTGCAGAGCGTGAAGACTGCAATTTATGAACTGAGATTTTCAGATTGCCTCGGACACTCCTTCACCGCTGAATAAGAGCGAACATTGTAGGAGGGGAAAGGGCCATGGCTTCTAGAGCACCCAACTAAGCACAATTTGAAGCTCCACTTATCGAAATGTATATTTTATGACTATGGATCAGATGGCAGCGTGCGATATGAAAGGGTTTTTTTATATTTACAAACTGTAAACAGATCTTATAAAGTGGCAGCATGTAGCATCAGTAAGCTAGCAGACAGAGAGTTGTGCACATTAAAATCAAACTGAAGCGAGTAAATATTGTACTTATGTTCATTTGGTAGCCAAAAGCACACCTCTTTTTTTTAAACTCAGAGTGGTTTTTAAGGGGGGTTTAGACTTTACAGTTACAGCACTGTGCAAAACTCTTGAGCCACCCCTCTTACACATGCAATACAGCACATTTCTCCCTGTTTCCCTTCCTTACGAACAACTTCTTCACAGCTTTCCTTGCAACAAGCCCATTTCTGTTGAACAGTAGATGAATCAGCTGACGTCCCTTAGGTCCTGTGTCTGGTCTTTGCTGTATATTTTTTCACTGCTTCTTAAGGACATTGCTTTTAGATACTACATATCTGCTGTAAGTAGTTTTTAGATTTTCCACTTCCTGTTTTTGTCCTCCACTTGTCCTATTTCCACACTTTTTAGGAATAGCCTCGTTGGTGCAAAAATACAATTTTGGGCCTGTCAAGTGTGTTATCTTTGTAATTTTTCATAATCTCAGCTACAGAAATGTGAACAAATGTTGAACAACAAATGTTTTCTGCCCTGAAAATGGTCAAGTACAAGAACTGAATATGAGTGAAAAAGAAGCCAATGTCCAAAGAAAAACTCGAAGAAAGACCAGTTAATTGCAGCGAGCCAAAAAAGCCACAGTCACCAAAGGCCAAAAAAAGTATCCCGCCCATCCTGTCAAAATATTCTGAAATGCACCAACCTCGGCCCTAAATGAATCCCTGTCACTGACACTTCCACAATGTTATGGTGAGACCGCGGCTAAACCTGTAATTTCGATAATAATTCATCCCCATTGACTTGCTCCCTTGCTAGCTTTTGGACACCAGTATTTCACTGCACCGTCTAATTTGAAGTGACACTCCCCTCTAGTGTACTTCACAGCCTATTTCAATGCAAGCGATGTCATGAGCCACAGAATTGTGAAGGGCTGCGCAGGTAAAAAGAAAGTCGACGCTTACACCCACAGAAATTACCACTTCATTCCCACAAGGTCTCCGTGCTTTATCTCGCATCGGCACAGAAATGGAGCCTCCCGAAATGTCAGCGTTGGCGCCGTTTCATTATTGAGAGATATGCATTGCTTCTTAATTGCTGGGGAACATCAATTTGGCAACTGACAAAAATGTCTCATCTTGCTGCGCTTTTGAATTTGATGTGTAATTTATTTGCAATCAACGAATTATGACACTTTCTGTTCTTGCTGCTGTGCAAAAGTATGCTATTGATAATGTGCACATCACACAGCTTACCCTATGATTGTCTCTGGAGCTCTCTACCTGCATGTTGCTTCATAATAGAAATAATGACCGGAGTGTTGTACAGCCAATTTGTTATCTCGTGTTTTTAGCATCTTTTCAGCATAACAATCCCCTGCAGCCACCCTAAATAAAAAAAAATAATAAAAACTTAGGGAAAGCAACACAAACTATAAAGCTTTACTCCCACTGCACATCTTCCCTGCACTTGCATTAGTAGTTAATTAGCAGATTGCTTGTCCTCTTTTCACAGCAATTAACCACCTTCAAGCATTCAGCCTGCGATCATTCACAGCTTTGTCCCCTACATTACCTCCCCACCCAAACAGAGCACGCAGCCCTTGAAAACTGCTAGAAATGTGGGCTGGCACGCACTGCTGTTAATGATTTCATATTTACGTGTTCTAATTGCGCCTGGTTGGCGATGATAAATATGGACATGTAGCCACGCAGGGTAACTTATTTCATATGCTAATTAAGCAGCGGGAAGACTCGTGAAAGATTATCAGGAGGCAAGGGGTGAAGATTTGGGAGGGTTGTGGGGGTGGCTGGGGTGGTCAGAGTCACAGATCGCAGTTTAATCCAATGCTAAATGAGCAGACACAGTAAAGGACACTTCCAAAGGTAGCGTGACATAAATAAAGACGCATGGCAGGGGAAATTTGAGAGATTTGTGTGTGACACAGATATTGTTGCAGATGAAAAAGTCTTCTAAGATTTTAGGATGTGCTGTTGGACAAGCTGGAAAGAGACAAAAAGGAGCCCTAAACGTGTCGTAGTTTCAGAAGGCAGGTGACATTTAAAAGCTTATTTTTTTTAAATTCTACCAGGTACAAACAGCAATCAGTCAGTGCTGTAAAAGCTAGGCTAATTTAGACATCAATACTAACAAGAACATTGAAACATTAGTTATCTGACTTATTTTTGCAGGTGTAGCGGAATTAGTTTAAATGCATCGTTGCCTAGTGTTAAATTTGATTATGTCTTAATTACAGGAAATGAGCCAAAAGTTGTTTTGACATTGTTTCAAGTGTCATCGGGCTCATTTCCTGATAACAGCGAGAAACAACAGCAAACCTGCTGATTTTTTAACAGAAACTCTTAAAACTGGTTTTATACACAAAAAAAGACTGAATTTCGCCCACAGGACAGTCCGGACTCTTCCACGGCTGTTCTTTATTGTCATTGATGTCACAGCAGTGATGGCCTTGTGAATGATATTAGAGGTGGTAAATAGTGCGTTCTCATGAAAATAGAAAACCAAGTGCGCCCATATTCCCCAAGAAGTACATTAAAATACAGTAAATACCTCATAAGGATGGAAAACCGAAGGTTCATGGACTGCAGTTCTGTATTTCATAAAGTCTGTTATTATATGTGTTATATCTCTCATACTGCAGTTCATGTGGATGATTTTATCCAAAGCACCTTACAGGCCCCGGGGACTTACTTCGTAGCTTTGGAAACCTAGTAGGTGCAACAGACTGATAAAAGATGGACGTAGCAAAAACGTGATGTGAATCAGAAACTACCCAACACCTCAGTTACACTGAAGTAAAAATAGGATGGGAACCTTCTTGTGACTAGGGAAAATTTGTGGTTGCCCAGTGAATACACTGACTTTTGTTGCCATCGGGGGTAGATTGCAAGTAGTTGGGATGGCCAGAGGTTGTGCCAGCAACACTGATTACACAGGTCACCTGGTGGGAGGCAACTTGTCTCCAAACTGTCACAGTCTGTCTCAGTTTAGCAAATAAGTGGAAGTTGTTTTGAAGATGGCAACTGACTGAGAGTGGTCACAGACATTTCAAAAGCAGGGATCGCGACATTCTGCTGCACGGCAACATCTGTTTATCCCCAGTGTGACTGCAGCATTACACCTACGTTCTTTCTAATGACCAGCAATGGGCAATTTCTCTCAATGCAAAATCATTTTGGGTTCTATAGAAATCTGTCAGAAAACGACCATTTGGACTGTATATATGTTCCTGATAGGTTTATGGTCCCAATTGCTTGTCTATAAACTCAGGAGGTCAGTCTCCGGACCTGCTTCACCTGCGCCGCTGTCGCTTTACACACGGTCAGGCTCCGGACCTGTGCAGGCGGAGGCCGACACAGTCCCATTTTATGTCCCTCAGTTTCTCAGTCAGATCATCAAGTCTCTTTGAAAACACCAAGAACCATCTTGGTGTTTTCAAAGAGACTTGATGATCAAGGATTGTGACTGTCTGGTGACAGTCACAATCCTTGATCATCAATCCTAAGCTTAGGATTGATCCTTGATCATCAATCCTAAGCTTAGGATTGATCCTTGATCATCAATCCTAAGCTCAAGGGTTTGAACATGAATCTAAAAGAGTTTAAAACTAAAGGGTCACGGTAGCTGTGTCCATCTTTTATATACAGCCTGTGATAGTAGACAGAATGTAAATTCTAATGATTTTCTTTGTGTGCTCCATATATTTTCAAAGCCAACGTAGTCTACATCACCTCAAAATCAAACTTTATATTCAGCCCCATGGGCAAAGTTTAATATCCACTTTCTTTTGCCCTGATAGACCCCCTAATAGCTCGCCAGTCAACTTTTTCTATGCTGTGTCCTCTTCAATCACAGGGCCACAACCTCCACTGACGTTGTGGTGTCCATCTGCGTTATCTTTGCCATGTCCTTCATCCCTGCCAGCTTTGTCCTCTTCCTAATCCAAGAGAGGGTGAACAAAGCCAAGCATCTGCAATTTGTCAGTGGAGTAAACCCAGCTGTCTACTGGTTGGCCAATTTTGCCTGGGACATGGTAAGTACCAGCTTTATCTGACAGCTGTGTCTGCACCTCAAATATTCTCTCTTTCTGAAGCTTCGGCTCTGTTACCTGACCCATTAAAGCCAGGTAAATACTGTGTAACATATACTATAATGTGATTCACCCCAGCAGTTTTTGCCTGCTTTATTTTATACTACCCTTGTAATATACTACTTTGGGCCTTTTTTTGCCCACCTAAGGCTAAATGTAAAAATATCCATCCACTGTAATTGACAATGTAGCTTTGACACTGCTGGCTACTGGGAAAAGCTTCACCTGAGACAGTTATTGGCTGAGGCGTAATTATCGACAGCAGCTGCCCCTGCTGGTTATGCTCAACAGGCTTACCGGCAGTTTCCCCGAGGCATAATGGAAGTAAACATTTCATCAGGTACCTTTGGTAAAGAAATTGCATCAGGACACTCATCATTATGGTGGATAAATGCTGTCTGGGTGGAAGACAAATGCACCTAAGGAGCCTGTCTAATGATTCTAGCCCGAAGCACCCCGCATTACCATGCATGCTCTATCAACAATAAGGATATTACGGTGAATCCAGTCTGAAAGCTCTTTAATATTTCAGTCTTAACTTTTTCTGTAATAAACATGTATCATTGTAACCTGATACATTGTATGTCTATTATCTGCAGTATTCCATTTATTCGCCAGGGGGGATATTAATCCGAAGGGTGATTATATAATAATAGCATCATCAGTTATGTTTGTTTACTTCTGTAGGGGGAAAAAAAAGTCTAGTAAAAAGCGTCCTGTCTGGTTTGATTTGAAGTTCAATGGATTTAAACAATCGTTGGATAAATATTAGTCTTAGATCAAAATTTTATAGAGCCATTGTACATGCATCCAATTCAGCGTGTCACTGAGCGACCGCTTGCTTCAAACACACGACAATCAGATGGCTTTGTTATTCACTGGATTAATTAGAAAACTAAAGCCGGATACATTCGCTAATTAAAAAGTCATCTACACATATTATAATTACACGGTCATTCAGTTGGCGTAAAAAAACAACAACGCTTTAATGGAGTCGTAACCGCCCTAAAGAGTGACTTTTAAGCCTGTGCTGGCCTGTGCTTTATTTTGGCGTGTGTGTTTGTGTTTACAGTGTAACTACATCGTCCCCTGCTTCATCGTGATTGTGATCTTCCTCGCCTTCCAACAAAAAGCCTATGTTTCCCCTCCTAACCTGCCGGCTTTGATTCTCTTGCTTTTTTTTTATGGGTGAGTAAATTAAGAATATATCCTTCCAATATTCATTCATGAAATCATTTAAAGTAGTTCACTCCACATGTGTGTACCGTATACTTTATTATACATTTTTTCATTGCGCACTTACTGAAATCTACAGTCTCTTTACATGATGTGTTTGAATAAATATTAAAATTCAAAATGTCAAATGCATTAGTGCGCCACCATATCAAAGTTCTCATGTATTTATTTGTTATGTAAATGACATATTTCAGAGTAGCTCAGAGAATTATGGCGTGCCCAGATTTCTGGGACGGGCTGTCTTTTAAAATTCATTGATTGACTTCTGAACACTTCAGATATCCACAATAGAAAGCTGTCATACTAGTGCAGGTATTGGCTGAAATGTAAGTACGCACTGTAATATTTTGTTGGCCTACCTTTAGCTCTGATGACGGCACGTTAGAGGTTTGCCGTGACAAAGTAAAGGGATTAAGATCTCAGTGGGGTTAAGGTGAGGTCTCCACAGTGGTGTTCGATCCATCTGTGAAAAGGACGTTTTACTTTCACTGAACCCATCTTTCACAATTTGAGCCCGATAAATCCTGGCATTGTCATCTTGGAACATGTCCACGCCGTCGGAAAAAAGAAGAAATTCATTAATGGAGAAACTCTGGTCGATCAGTAAATTCAGGTAGTTGGCTGACTGCGTTTTTGAGGAGATAATGTTGCTGAACGTTGACCAACTGAAGCAACCTGAGATCAGGCTTTTACTGTAAGCACGAGGCGTGATGATGCATCACTTCACCCGCCTCTCTTCTTAACCTGATGTGCCAGCACTCAGGAACAGGGTAAATCTGGACTCATCAGACCACATGACTGTTCTCCATCGCTCCAGAGTCCAACCTTTAAACATCCCTGGTGAACTGAATTGTTTTTTTCCCCAAGTAGCCAAACTGATAAGTGGTTTTCTTAAGGCCAGACAACTGTTTAGCCCTGATCCCTGGAGTTCTCTTTACATTGTGTGTGTATAAATGCTTTTACTTAGCTGTGAGTTCAACTATTAATTTGACCTCTGATCATGATCAGTCATGATTTTCATATTTCTTCTTTGAGTCCCTTCAGCCTTTTGTACTGTGTTGAATAAAATTCTGAATTGTTTGCTTGATACAGACCATTAAATCTGACCCTTCTGAAACAGAGAACATCTTTTCCACGACCACAGGATGTGTCTTTTTACGTTGTTGTTTAAGAAATGAGAAGCTACTCACTTCGGTCAGTCAGTTGAGGTTAAATAAGCTGTTTCCAGCTGAAACGTGTCATTATATTACATTTTAGAGATCAACCACAGAAATTAAGGAAGCAACAGACCTGTTCATCTCACATGTGCACCTTTAACACTTGATTAAAGTTTACCTTCAAAGTTTGTGTTATTATTCATTGTTGAACCAGCTCAGTCCTTTCCACGCTGTAGGAGAACTTTAAAAGTGCACTACCACAGAATCACCAGCTAAGAGGCATTAGCTCACTTCCACGCTACTCACACTTCCTCAGGCACTTTGTTAATTTGAACTATTAAGACTTTCCCAAATGAAGATGACATTTGGCAAATTTCCCTCCCCCGTACCCTTAATGAAGAGTTTGGACACCTCACAAAATGTCAGTAAATATGTGGTATGATGACCATTTGAACAGGTTCTAGCAGGTAGTAAGCTGTACAGGTAAAGACTGCCCTTTTGTTGCATAACCAGTCATTTTGTCCTAAAAGCCATTTGAAGTATGACAGAAACCATTCAGTTCAGGAAAAGGGGGGGTTTCTCCTTTTAGGTGTCCAAGGGGTAAATAGTTATCTGTGACAGTGTCAAAAAGTCCCACAAAGCCAGAGTAATCGAAGAACTGACGTTTATGCCACTAATCTTTAATTCATATCTCCAATTCAATCCAGTGCATTTATTATAACGTATTTTGTACATTTTTCACAATAGTTTGTACTTTGTGTAATACTTATACTACGTCCATTGAAAGATGCACCAGTGCACACAAATAAGTTAGTAATACTAGTCATTGGAAGTGACACACACCAAACCCTAAGCCTAACTATGATCACGTCCTAATCCCCAACCCTGACCCTGACCACATCGGTCGGCTTTTTCCACCCTGCAAACCTATGACATCGCAACATTGATGATTGGTCACTTGCAATGTTGCAACTGGACCAACATTGGTTTTGATGATCCAGGAAGAACACCACCGCAGGGATATCAGATACAGCTATAGTGAAGGAGACATGCTGTATAGCTTACCTCGTACAAACAGGTCTGTGTGCTTGTCAGAGTGAGGCTGCAGTCTGTTTCCAAAGATTCCTAATCTAAAAAGAACTGAATCAGAAAGTTACACACACGCCTCTGAAGTAGGTCAAACTGAGACTCCAGCACTTGAGTAAATGTAATGAGATCAAAACGTGTTACTTTCAAATTACATTCAAAGGTCTGGTTTTATGACAGGGGTTGGCACCGTGGCACCGCAACGCCAGTGCCTCACTTGATCTGCTTGTGATACCGAGCTTGAACCGCTGACTGCCGAGCGTGGGCAGCATTCAGTTTGCAGTGCTTTCATGGGTCACTTACTGAAAATGCAAATGATCAGAGGAGGCCATCAAATGGCACAGCTGACCTGGTAATCCGCATTCGTGAATCGAAAATAGCAAGGATTCTGTAGCTGCTAGAATGACATTTGCCATTATACAAATTGCCCTCGGAGAGTTTAACGAGCATGGATTACACTGGAGATCACCTTTTGTTATTTAAACTTCTATATTTTCAATTTTGTAACACTGTTTTACTTTGGTTTGTGTTTTTTTTTTTTTTTAAGCTGGGCTATCACGCCCATGATGTACCCGTTCTCCTTCATCTTCAGCGTGCCCAGCACAGCTTACGTGGTGCTGACCTGCATCAACCTCTTCATTGGTATTAACAGCAGCGTGGCCACCTTTATCATGGAGCTCTTCAATGATGATGTAAGTGTCATCCTCACCACACACTCACACACGCATACAGAGTCTGTGCGGACGGAAAAGTGGGAGACACACATGCATGCATGCACATTTTTAACGCGACAGGCGACACACTTCCTGTGAAACAGCAGGCGCAGACTTTCAGACTCCATAAAAATGATATTTATGCAGAAGCTATAGCTGCGGATGGCTAATTGACTTGAATCATAGATAAACGCTCAGTGTTTTTCCATTTTTTTTCCAAAGCAAAAGCTTCCACGCGCGTGGGTGGGGTGTGTGCCCACCTGGTATAACTTTTAATATATTTCCTTTATCCTCTCAAGGATTTTTCAAAGGAATTATTTTGCCTATTCTTTTTAATGTTAAATCGTTTGCTGAGAATTGGGTCTTCAGAGAACTTTGCTCATCCATCTTTCAGCAAGTGTTCATTTTAACTGCAAGCTGCTCCAGTCTCAGTGGAATCAAAAGACATAGACACCAAAAACGAGCTAAATAAGAAATGCAGAGCTCGGTTTGGAGAGAGACAGACTGTCAGTCATTGTACTGTTTTATTAGAATTTAAATAAATTACATAAAAAAGAAAATATCTGAATACGCAATTTGTGCAAACAGCCAGGACTCAGACAGCACAACCTCAAGTTTTTGAAACAATTTCTCTACTTTTCTGACATCTTTCTCGTTTGTTCTCTGATTTGAATACGTCTAAACACATTTGCAGCCTTAATTGTTATTTGCACGATTCCCATGCATCGCCCGCTCTCTCATTTGGTTTTTTTCCCACCTCACCACGTATTTTTAGCCTCGTGCTGATCAGTCATCCCTTGTCAACAGACACAAGAGCACGGTGCGGTGACGAGCTGCGTTTGCATCTGACGCTTCATCAGAATGTCTCCCACATCCCCGATCTGCCACTTCAGACGCAGCGTAATGTCGTCTCAAAGACTCAAAGAGTCTGCCCCCTCCGACACGCCTGCCTGTGACTTGATCTTCTGGCGCCCGCTCCGTGATGGCATGGGATGTTTCCTGTCTCCTAACGAGGCGGCCTCATTTGCATCGTGATTTCATTATCGCCGACATTCATCATCAATTTGTATTTTTCACGAGCGCGTCTCTCCTCCAAGAAAGTCACTGTGGTCATTTTGTTGTGTCTGCATTCTCTTTATTTATTGATGCGACGTTAGCGGAGCGTATTACTCATAAAGGGCGCCATTCCCGATAATTTAATGGACAGCGCTTTGCCCACGGGCCGGTGTAAAGGGACGGATTTACTGCCCACTTCGCTCGATTGAGGCATTAGGAGCAGCGTGTTTCTCTGAGGCTCGATGGGGACGGAGGTCCGAGATAATTCTGCTAATCTGACCCAATTTCGCCGCTGATAAGAGTCTGATGGGTCAACATCAATCAACTCACATGTTACAGCTCTCCAGGTTTCCATGTCTCCCCCAGTTCAGAGCTGATATCTCCCCGGAACAGACTCTTCACAAACTAGCTAGCGCAGATATGACAGTGCCCCGACGTGCTCCAGTTCAACAGAAACGGCAGATCCTGCACATGACAGCTCTATCCAGCCTTCTCCTCTCGCAGCTTCTGCGATTTCAAAGCTGCGCCTCATCACTTTCAGGCTCCTCGGCGGCGGCGGCGACGATATTTAAACAGTGTCGCTCAAAAGTAAAGCTTCCGGCTTTCAGTCTGTTTTCTCTTTTCAAGCACTGGGTGAATCTAGATCCCTTTTGGGCATAGCACCATTTTTCCAGGGGAGAAAATGGGAAGAAGGGAAAAAAATTATAGCAGAGTGGGAAAGCAGCGCTGCAGTGTTATAGACTTGGTGCCCTAGTTTTGTCTTGAGACCAATGGGAGATTTTCTTTCCCTCAGGACTGTCCAACTCCCTGTGGATTGCATCAATCCCAGCCTGCCTTGTACGCTTGAAGCGCTGTCTGAGTCAATACTTCCACCACGTGCCTCTAAGAGATAACCGCAGGCACCCATAGATTTTCCAGGATAAATGTATCGGTGTGGTGGCGTGACCAGGTACCGCTTACCTCATGTAGTGTAATTGGAGTACATTGTTTTAAGTCCAGAAGAATTTATCGACGCTGTGCTTAAAACAGGCAAAGGTTTAATGTAGTCGATTGCTCACGACAGAACTCCTACAGTATCTCAAAACCACAGGAATATCATCTCTTGAAAAAATCTTCCCCAGCTGTTTGTGCCATACATCCTCTGTTTGTCTCCTTTCATTGTGATTCGCAGCATTATGAATGAAGCCACGCTGTGGGAATGAGCACGTGTAGGGATATGGGTCAGATAAGCACAGCGCAGACAATACCACCTTTAAAAACCATTTGAAAATGATGTATGGGCCCATAGCGCAAACACAAGGGGGGAAATTGTCCGGCGTTTTATCATCTTCGACAAAGAAGCTCTTAGATCTCCTTGATGAACACCCAGTCAGGAGGAGATATGTTATTTCATGTATCGATCTCAAATTAGGTCTCGCTGCTTTTTGCATTCCTCTGCCAGATGGATGGGCTGCTCTCAGCCAAGGTCATAGCTGTTGTTTATTTATTTAACTTTCTTATCTCTGTTTAGGCTTAGTGTTGAATCTAAAGAATAGAGGTGCCTTTAGCAAATTCCCCGATGCTTGCATTCGAGTGGTTACATACATTGTGAACATCCTGGGGGATAAAAATATGTTTGCAAACGTCAAGAAAAGAACTTTGAGGGTAAACTTGTTTTCTGCTACAGCAAATTGTTGCAGTAAAGTATATCTTTCCTCCATATACTGTCAGTAAAGGCAATCAAGTAATTGGCTACAGAGAAAATACTAATACACAAATATAAATTAGCGATTTAAATGATACCATTAAACCATTTTTCTCCTTAGTAAGCAGGGTTCAAGTGTTCAAAAAAAATGTTGGTGTTACCAGTAACAAGATGCACCAATTTTTGTTGAATATGCATTGTTATTGCAGCTCTTCTTACCCTCCTGTCCTCAAGCAAATGTATAGGTGTAGATAAAAGAAATGATGAATTGCTGCTGAACATCTAAAGACGTCTAAAGGTTTGCGTCGACATCGTGATCAATGAGACCTTTTCATCACGGTCTTGAATCTGCCCGAGAGAACTAGGCCAGCGAACACTTATTGTAGTGTGTAAGTTTGTAAGTTGGATTGTTGTTCGTCTCATTCAGATGACCTCAAACACATATCGGAACATTTCCTGTTACGAGAATTATTATACAGTAAAAATCTTAGAGCGTTTTATTACTATTCCATTTTATTTTATCAATGACAAGGACCTTTCATACAAAGTATCCCCATATAGTCATGGGAAAAAGAAAAGTACACCTATGTGAGTTCTAAGGTTGTAGATATCCTTTGCGACACATTTTCACTCTTTTTCAGCCATTCTGTTGTAGATTCGATTGGAATCTTTGTCCTGCTAAATGATCCAGTTTCAGCCAAGCTTTTGCAGACCAATGGTCTCACATTTGGAAGACATTTGTTTTGCAGTCCTGTGGCTGTAAAACAAGCCCAAATCATCACCCCTCCACCACCGTGCTTTCAAGTTTATTCCCCCTCAGTCTGCATTAAGCAGTAATTGGAGAGTCAAACCTCTAAACTCATATAGAAGCAGTGAGGGTGGAGTTTTTGTTAAATGAAGAATGGCTGTGTATATGTCATGTTTTGTAGTTCATCCGAGGTTGCATTTGCATGATTTTAAGCTCTGATAAATCAAACCTTAGAACTGATACAGAGTGTACTTTCTCTTTAGCATGGCCGCAGATCTTTAGCTATATTTGGAGCTACTGTACATTAGTATCTTTGTCCCCTTTGTGATCAGATTTGTTCCTGGCTCCAATGATCACAGGGATAAGGAGAGGCAGTGAAAGCAAGAGTGCAAAAGCTAGATAGGATCAGTAATACATCTGTCTGCTGAATATGGAAGCAGCATGTGGTTAGCTTAGTATGAATGCAGGAAGGAGCTAGCTTGAGGACACCTGTAAGTTACTAAAGCAAGGCAGATATACAGCAGCAGCACCATATATATTCTTAATGTGCACAGGCTAAATGTGCCCCCACACCTCCTTAGGAGAAAAAAAAAGTCGTCAACAGTTTTATTTTTATTTTTTTTTCTTTGTCTGCCTTTCCCCCTCGATCACAGTCTCACTTCCCACCTGCTAATATCTGACAGAGTATGTTGTCTTATTTAAAAAGTGTCATGTTTTTCTTGCATTTACACAATAAGCTGACATCCAGTAAAAGTGCAGACTGAAATATCTTTAAATCTGGCTTTTTATTAAGGCTGGCAGACTCATAAGGCCTCACACTCGCATTGTAACTGCCAATTGAAAGCTTAGTCACTGAAACTAATTTCACAGAGCTGTTACACGCATGCATGAATAAATTCTGTGACAATAATGGCCATCATTTGGAAATCTTGCACACAGCTTTAACAAATCGCACCTCTGCCGCCGCCCCACCTAATCTCGCAGACTCGCCCAGAAAACAGAAATGATGAATTTGTAGTCTCCATCCATGTATGCAAGAGCTTTGAAGACTATGCAGCAATAGAGCACTATGCATAATGCATGAACTCGGTTGTGAAGCCACAGTAATATGTTGCCCTTTTGCTCTGCCTTCTCCTGTTTTACCCCCTCTCCTGTACTTCCTTCCTCGCTTGTGCCAGTTCGTTACAGCCTGGTCCGCTGTGTCTTAATTTAATTAATTGTTGCTTTTGTACTTTATTAAGCTGTCAGTGTTCTAACCACCGGCAGGTCAAATGTGGAGAGAAAGGAACTGTACAAATTTAGAAAGGAAAAAAAAGTTGTGTAGAAATACGCTGTCAAGACTTTATTACTGCCTATGCCTTGTGAAACACTGAAACAATGTGCTTTGGGTTTGTGTTTGTGTTTTTTGTTGTTGTGGTGCTTTATCAGAAGAACCAAAAGAAGACAGAGTACCTGTGCTTTTCTTCCTCCCACCTGTGACTCTTTGGTGTCTGGGTGTTTCCTCTACCTTTAGTTATGATTTTAAGGATGAGCATCTGCTTCCCTGAGCATCAACTCATCTGTTTGTGTTTGCACATACTGAGCTCTACTGTACGTGCTCCCCCCCACAGATCACACAGTACGTTCCCTGACGTCTCCTAAATTCCAGCATGGAGAAGGTAGATGAACCTTGATGCACCGAGTTCCCTCGGCATGCTATTTGGTGCACCGCAATACACCCGTGCTCAGCGTGCAAGCACAGCGCAGGATGTTTGTTAATTATCTGCACTTGCATCAGGGAGCTTCAAGCTATTTTCCAAAGCTCTCACTCTGGCTCTGCTGATTCAGGCCTAGAATTGTCAACATATTGAGCTTGTAACTGTGCAATTCCCAGTCAGGGTTTAAATAGCCAAAACGTCCTCGTGCCACTAATGTGTATCCTGTGTGTCTGTGTGCATTTTTCTCAACAGAATATCACCCATATCAACAACATAGTGAAGCAGGTGCTGCTGATATTCCCACACTTCTGTCTGGGCAGAGGGCTGATTGACATGGCCAAGAACCAGGCAACGGCCACACTCTTCAGCAACTTTGGTGAGAGGATGATATTATAGCATGGAATACAGAAAGGACTAAACTGTCTCACACATTAGTGCTAGATTTTAAGATGTGAAATGGGTTCATGTGCTTTGGACAGTGACACCGCAGTGGTCAATGAAGATGTGATTGAAGCCCAGACGTTCAGGTTTAATTCAAGGGGTTTGGCAAAGGTACTGCATTAACAGTTCGGGAATCATATTTTTATGCAGTCCCGGATTTTTAGCGGCTTAAATTTCATTGTCTTGTGAGACCTTTTGCCTAGAATTCTAATATGAGGTCCAAAGGACATAGATGTAAATAAGGGAGGCCATCATTAGGCTGAAAAACCCCCAAAATCCAGCAGAAACACCACAAGGCCTGAAAAGACCACAGAAGAAAGTGGATGATCTTTCCATCGTTAAAAAAATTCCCTTCACAAGATCCAGCTTAGTTGAGACCACTCTCAACAGGTAGGTATGCCATCGTCAAAGTCTACAATCAAGAGATGTCTTCATTAATGTAAATACAGAGGGTTTACAACAAGGTGCAAACCACTGGTTACACTCAATTGATTGATTAATTGGGGGAAAAAAATCCTTTGGACAAATGAAAACAAAATGAATGCGAATGAGGATAATGCGAAGAGAAAACAATAAAGAGAGGAAAGAGCAGCTCACGAGCCGTAGCATACTGTATCATCTGTTAAACGTGGAGGGAACACATGGGCTGAAGTGCACAGGGCTGTACTCTCTGCTCAGATTCAGCCAAATGCTGCAAAACTGCTTCTCAGTGCAAATGGACCAAAACCAACCCGAGAGTTTCACACAGAACAAATGGGATGTTTTTAAGTAGAAAAGTCATTCACTGGATCCCAACCCAACAGAGCATACTGTTTTAGTTACTGAAGGTAAACGAGAATGCAGCCAAGAGCTGCAAACCAGCAGCAACTGAAGGCGGCTGCAGTAAAGGCCTTAGCAGAGCTTCTCAAGGGAGGACACACAGCATGAGTTTGAGACTTTAGGCAGTATGGAAAGCATTTTCATTGAAATATTAAAAAAGAATCTTTATATTTGAAATGATGCTAGCTTGTACAATTAATTTTGAGGCTCTGAAAATGGGGGATTATGTCTAAAAATGACAGATAACATCAATTTTTTGTAAAACCTACCAAATTAAAGCTGAAAGCCGGCGCTTCAATCATATCTTATTTGATTTAAAATTCACTGTGATGGCGTACGGAGGCAAAATGACAGAAATTTTGTCAAAGTTAGTGCAAAGTACCCTTAGATTACATCCAGTTAGATTCATTTGGCTCTAAATGGATGTCATCTAAGGGTACTTTGCATAGTAAGCTCAATACTTTACAGCATTTCAGTGAGAGAGAGAAAAAGCATCAGTCTCCTCTTTGGGAAACGCTTGGCAGACATTCCTTTTTAACGGGATAAAATCTGAACCAGACTCAGGTCGGGGCAGCTGTCTTGCCTCCACATGTTGGGGTGAGAGGAGAGCAGAGTGAGAAAAGATGAGTGTTGGAGAAATAACAGGCAATAAACACTGGGCAGGTTGGTAGGGCCAATAACCGCAGATCAGAAACACAAAGACCGTATCTGCAGAAAGGTGAAGGAGAGGGAGCACAGGGAGAGGAAAAAAGACCAAAACAGAATAAAAACACAAGTTAGTGACTTGTACAGGTAATGCATGGGCAGAGAAAGCTAGCTCAGCGTGTAAAGCGGATTAGCAAAAAAAGAAGAAGAAAAAAAGAGAGCGCTGGTATATTTATAAAACCCTTTAAAACATGGTTATCTCACCCCGGTGCCTCAAAGTGCCACCGATTTTACCAGACTCGGTTTCCTCTCACTCAGCAGTCAGCTGCAGCACCTAATTTATCACAGCGGACCGCTTGTATAAATTTCCATCCTGCTCTCCTATACTTTGTGCCTCTTAAAATATTTAGAGCAACTCGTGCCGCAGATTTCTTCCATTTTACTTGCAAACCTCGCCGTTGACTTTTAGTAAACAACAACAAACTGAACCACGTGCTGCTCTGAAAACAGCCAGAATAAATGTTCTGTGGATCTTTGCAACGAAACATTTGCATAACCGGTTTTTGCATCACAGTCGCCCACCACACTGCTCTGTTCTCTGTTACACTGGCAAATAACTGGAGCATTTAAATTATTGGAATACCATAAAATATTGCAAGAAATGTACATGCCATCCAAAAATATAATAATAATAGCCCACAAAGGAGCATTTATATGGCGCCTTGTCTCGTATTCCACCCGTTTCTCCACTGATACGATGCTATTTCGTTCTAAACGTTAGTTCTCCAATATTTGACCAGAAACGCAGCTCCCTAGTGTCCACTACAGCTGCACACTCTGCATGAGTTAAATTTAGACAGGATAGGGAAAAAAACAGTGTAATGGTGCGTGTGGAGGTGGAGCTGGTATTGAGGAGGTCATCAAGAAGCAAAGAGGCACATGCAAGAGGAAAAAGGGGTCTTATCTGTGGAGAGATGGAGCAGGAAATAGCGGTTTGAGGAATCATTTGTGGCGGCGGTTGGAGAGAAGGAAGAGAAAAGCAATCACAACTTAAAAAGGCTAGTGTGGAAAGGGGCTATTTACCCGAGAATGAGACTGAAAGCTCTTTTCGTTTTTCTTGTCTCCTTTGCACCCCCCAGCCCCGCCCCACCCTTGGCCTTAAGGGCTGTAGAAGCCGTGAGGGAGAGGGAAAGAGAGCAGATATGATAATGGTTAGAGTGCTGGGCTGTCAACGGTTTACTTTACTTGCATGTTCATTAGCCAAAAAATAAAAATATGGCTTCAACATGAAAAGTACAGGATGTCAGCAGTTTCTTCCCATGACATAGGTGACAGCATTTATTTTTTTTTATTATTATGCAAAGGCTAAGTGGCTTTTTAAACTGCCGCCTTTCACCAACAAATGCGTCTCAGCAACACCAGCGTCTGACAAAGACACATTTGGCTGTCCGTGAACAAAAACACATCTGCTTATTTCCCTTCTGTTTTGACAGCTTGTCCATTAACTCATCCTCGGGGCTCGCTGTTAAGGGTTGGAAGTTACTGTGACGTGACACGTGGAAATAATCTGTGTAATTACCTGCCTTTCTCCTGTGTGCGTTTGCTAATTTCCTTATCAGGGGAGGACCGTTTCAAGAACCCGCTGAGCTGGGAAATGGTGGGAAAGAACCTTTGTGCCATGTCCATCCAGGGAATTGTCATGTTTGCTGTTACAATCCTCATCCAGTATAAATTCTTCTGCAAACCAAGGTGACCGTAAGAAACTTTAAAACAAAAAAACAAAAAGAAAAAACAACTCTTCCTTGTGTTTTGTCAGATAAACAAATTCTCTCCTGTTCGCAGCTGTTAGGATTAGTAATACGCTCTATATTGACTTTATATGAAACATCTGTTGCACTGCAAATGTGTTTTACCAAATTCAAAGCAATTATGTCTTCCTTTCCTTTTTTCCACTCTTTTTTTTGTAGTGTTTTGTACTCTAAAAGCGAGGTTGCCATAGGAACTAATGCCCGTGGCTTCATCTATTTATGAAAATTGCAGAGATTGTTTCATTGAGCTTAAACTTTGACCAACATAATTTGTCACACGAGTTCATGTTAATTTTAATGAAGGGTATTATGCCAACTGTGTTTGACTCTCTCCGCTAGACTTATTTCAGGGAAGTGGCTGCCTGCAGAGGAAGAGGATATCGATGTTGCCAGGGAACGAAGGCGGGTGTATGAAGGCGAAGCCCAGAGCAACCTTCTGAGGATCTGTGACCTCACTAAGGTATCCAGCTTTGGTGCTTTTTAGTGAGGTTTTTTCCATTCTGTTCTTGCTCCTACTTGATTTAATTTTGTTCCATCGCCTCTTTGTAAAAAGTGTAATTGTATTTAACCCTCATCTTACCAACTGGGGCCTGTATTTTTTTCTTTTTGTAATATCTGAGTTTTGTTTTTTTTAATTGTTCCAGTATTTCATCACTTTTGTCAGTCAGTTTGTTCCCCACAAAATTACCCCACCATGGAGGTTATGTTTTCAGTGTTTGCATGTCATTATTCTGCCTGAAAACACAATAACTCGAAAGGTTTTGAATGAATTGTGATAAAACTTTGTAGGGGTGGAGAGTGGGGTCATTTTAACAGCCCATTCAAATTTGCCTGACATCCACCGATGTCTTCAAGGTCAACTTAACGATTTATTGGTTGAAAATGAACAAAAAGCCTTAAAAATGAGAAACTATGAGTCTTACAAGTGTGCTGTGTTCATTCAACCTATAGAAAGTCATGTATAAAGATTCAAAAGTCACGTCACCTGTGACCCTTTCTTCAAGGTCAAAAGATTAATTTGAGGGTCACGGTGACAATAATGCTTGACAGAGCTATTGAAAACTGTTTCTTACTGCCATTGTTTGCATTGACAACATGCAGGCACACAGGGAATGAGGAAATATCACACCACTTTGGACCAATGACCTCTTTTTCAAAGTCAAATAAGGTCAAACTGTCTTAAAATGTCTTTTATCTTTAAACCTGCCTAAAATTCTCTTGCCTTTGTTTGTAAAGGTAACTTTTAGTAAATATCACATTTGAGATGCAGCTGGATCTACTGTATCTGAGAAAGCTGACCTCTGCCACTGATTCTGTTCATAATATTTATGGACAGAATATCTAGGTGCAGCCAAGAAACTCTAGGTGGAGGGTGAAGAGTTTGGGTATCTTTTTACAGATGATGTGCTTCTTTTGGCTTCATCGAACCGTGATCTCCAGCAGCCTGAGCTGAGGCTGTTTGCAGCCAAGAGTGAAGCAGGTGGGATGAGAATTAGCAACTCTAAGTTCAGGGCCGTGGTTCTTAGCTGGAAAAGTTTAGAGTGGCTGCTTTGGGTCAGGAATGAGTTGCTGCCCCAAGTGATGGAGTTTGTCTTGTGCTTTGTTCATGAGTGGGGGGAGAGTGGTGTGGGAGATTGGCAGACAGACTAGTGCCGTCTTGGCAGTGATGCTGACATTGTACTGGCCTGTTTTGGTGAAGAGTGAGCTAACCGTGACGGTGAAGCTGTCAACCAATAAAGCTTCATTCCTACCCTCACCTGTGGCCGTGGGCTCTGAGTAGTTACCGAATGAATGAGATTGTGGATTTCAGCAGCGGAAGCAAGTTTCCTCAGGAGGGCGTCTGGGCTCGACCTTACAGGAGCTCGGTCATTCAGAGCAGAGCCGCTACTCCTCTGCATCAAAAGGATCCAGTTGAGATGGTTTGGCCATTTGACCAGGATGCCTCCTGGGAACCTCCTAGGTGAGGTGTTACAGGCTTGTAACTGCTAGTTATGTGTTTCAGTTATTTTATATTGGGGTCAAAATGAGCTTGGTTGGTTTTACAATAACAGGGTACCCATGAAGATTGTACTTGGGATATTGAGTGCAAAGATTTTCATTATAGAGAACATGTGAATGAACTGAAATGTTGAATAATAAACTCTCAGAATAATAATAATGATCTCTCTTTCTCCTTATATGTCATTAATTACATAACTAATAATGCTCAAAGAAGAAATTTGGTTTGATGACGGACCTTCATCCTGTGACCTCTCACCTTTTCTTGCAACCTGATAAATTCACCCTGCCCTTTGTATGTCCTCGGCTTCTTATTTTATGACTTACTGCTATAGATTATGTTAATGTTTACTTTTTTATATGTGGAAAATTGTGTAGTCCACCTACAATACTTTTTGCAACACTCAATGCCTATATTTCTGAATCATTATGCATCATTGTACGTAAAGACTTTAGTTCACCTGAATATGTGGACGTGTGTGTGGGCGAACTTTACTCCCTTCATGTGCTCGAGCTATAATCTTTTCCAGGCCAAATGGGAAAGACAGGTTGGTAGCCTGCAGCTGTGCGCTATCACAAACATCATAAGTGGGCACAAGAACCAAACAAGATTACACTTTTAGAGGTGGAAAGGGTCTGCGCTCCTATGTAGCGCTGGCCCTTCTTTCCTCGGTGTGTGTGAGACTGAGCATACTGTGGCAGTGCGAGCCTCAACACCACCAAGATTAACGTCTCATCCATTGGCAGATGTTCCCTCCCTGCGGGCAGCGTGGCAGCAGGAAGTGTCACCACAGCAGCCTGCTTTGCAGCTCCAGTGCCGACAGCTGGACGATCTAACAGCCTTTTGCTTCTTACCACCTCTCTTCGCTCCTTTACTCCCTCGGTCTGCTCATTCTCACCATACTTAATCTCTCACTCGTTGCTCACGAAACACAGTTGTGCGCCACACTCCCTCGGGTAATTACTGAACAAAACAGTTGGATGGGTAATGTATTACAAATCATCTTCAAAGGCAAAAAGTTGGGCCGGGTTGTAGGAATGCTAGTTGTTCAGCTAAGAGTTGTTGAGCTAACGTCTTTAAAGTTCTTAAAATCCTTGTTGCAAATGTGCCTTTCAAACAGTACGAAAGTATTCACTCGGTTTGGCTGAAATAGTCTGCTGTCGACAAGCACTTCAGTTATTACTCATGTGCACGTTCGCAGTTGACAGCACGTCTACGAGATGAGACACAGTGGCCCATCGCCACACAAACACAGCAGAGCATTGGCAGAAGGCATCAGGATTCTTCCTGCAGTGCCCTCATTGACTCCCTCCACAGCTGTGCCCCATCCATTGGGGGGTGTAGATAATAAAATGATCAATGAGCACATGGCTTTGGTGGCCGTGTGCCACAGGCTGGGCCCTGTCATAAATCTGAGCATGCCTCTGAAGCGATCGACAGGCCATCAATCATCTGTCAGATACCTGCTCCTCCCCTTCCTCATCCTGCTGCCCTAAACAGGAGCGTTTTGCTATGCGCCCCACCTGGTAGCCTCCACTTAGCTGCTGCATTAGCGTCGACACCATAATCGATGGAAGTGTGTCCGTCTGTGAGCATTTTCCAGGCCCAGTGCTGTCAGTTTAACCTTCCAGTCACTCACTGAGATGACAGGGAAAGTTTCAAGGAACCTTGTGACAGCTGTTTGGATTAAGGAGAATGAGTGATGAGTGGCACCTTGGCATACTACAAGTGTGCTAATGTGCTAATGTGTACTAAGGGCATTTAAGTCGTTCAAATGAGACTCCTTTGGCAAGAGCTCTTGGTTTTATATTTAGAGAGGGCGTACATTTGTCTACGAAAACATTTATACATAGATTCAACTGTTCATTAGCCTAAAACCTATTTATCCATTTTTGAGTGATTACCAGACTCGACTTAAGTGATTTTGAGGTTTTTCAGCTTTTTTCCAAAAAGTATATTTTCTGGCAGTTTTCCCTTTCTTAAATTTCCTCTTAAAAGGCAAACTAGAGCCTGCTTGTGACTCCATTTGCATCGTGTTAATAATTTAAATTGTTTAGACTCGCAGCAGTTAATCAGGCATGGCAGTAACTCAGTGCCTTTAAGTCTGTGTAGGTTCTCAGTCATCCAGGTCTTTGTAGTCTAAGGCAGTGTTTCCCAACCTTTGGAATAGAATAGAATAGAATAGCTTTTTATTGTCACTGTTACAGGAACAATGAAAGGCAGTTTGGCATTTCTCCATGTGTGTGAAGTCTACAATAGCTTAAGTATTTACACAATAACAGACAAATTGTACATTTACACAAGAAATATATGTACAAGTTATACATGCACCTGCAAACATACACGCACATACATACATATATGCATCCGTACATACATACACATACATATTTCCACATACACGCTTACATCTATATACATACACATACATGCCATCTAACTAGCAGGTGCATTGAGAGTGTGATCAGTGATATTGCACATTGAGTGGGGGGGTGTGCTTGTTGGAACTATACTAAATAAGGTTGTAATAAATACAGTTTATAGAGTTACAGTTTTAGGAGCCATGGCACATATTTCACATTAGAAAAGTCACACCGCACACCACCAAACAAAACTGTCACAAAAAGCATGTTGATCATTTTCCCCCTTGCACCAGGTATAGCAGAATTTGTTCGGTTTGTCCCCAGTATACCTTTTTTGCTTTGTTCTGACCACTACTCATGCTAGGGCCTTCATCGGTGTCGGAATTTTCTCCAGGACCCAGGTCAGATTGACTATTTTTTCAAATATTTATCTATCAAATATTTATCTATCAAATATTTATCGTTGCGTTGTCTCACTCACACCATGACTATTATGTAATTTCTTCTTCGTCTTCTGTTTTACTGGAAGTTGGCAACCCATTTAATTAGAGCAGGTAGTTGTACTGCCCTCTAGTGGAAGAGAATGTCATTATTCAGCCTGTTACTCACGCTGATCGCTTAGAGTACTAATCAGGTAGAACCAGATAATCTTCCACAGCACACCTGATCATTTCTCACAAGCGACTGGACTTCTTTAAGTTGCTTGAAGAATTTCACCTCTCATCCGAGAAGCTTCTTCAGTTCTAAAACCAAATGGTGCAGAGTCCCAGGTATTAAAAACCGTACTGGGAGATGTCCGTTAGGAGGGTCAATGACCCACTATTGATCATGTGCCTCACATAAGACAAGGTGTGAAAAATGGCGTGGGTCATTATCATCATTATTTCAAGTAAAACCATGGTGAGATCTTACCTCACCCTATCATGTGACTTATTGAGACCACCTGACACAAGATGTTAGGTTGAGGCGCAGGGAAGGGATCTTTTTAGGCCTCTTTTACTCCTCTTACAAACCAAGCTCATTACCCTCAGTACCTTTAGGCATGTTGACGTGGTGAAGACAACCAGCTGAAGTTTCAACATGAGCACGACAATGGGC